CTCGACACAACCAAAGCTAACAGTTGTCCTTTAAAAGGTAATGGAAAGAAAGTCTGGTGCTACACCGGATTAATGTTGCTATTATTCACGAGCGCAAAACGTGGGATCAGACTGATCAATGGTTGCTGACCTTACAGCGACACTTCACAGCTTCTAGAAAAAAGGCTGCCTCAACCTGAATAAGACGATGCATCATTAACATGAACTAAAGACATACTGTACGTGTAGGTGCACTCTGGGACTCTCACCACCGGCCCCGATTGTCAACCTGCCAGTGAGGCCGGTCTCGGACACCAGGAACATCAAGCACAAAACAACTCCCCCGCTGATTAACAAGCTCGAGCTTCTTCACGACAACAACACCACCAGCTACATCATTACCGGCTTACAAAGCAACTCAATTACGCCTCATCTTGACAGCTCTGACAGGATTCGGCTTCCACTTGTGTGTACGTTAGTGTGAAGGGTCTACGCAGCTGCCAAGTGAGCAACGGTGGGCCGCAGTCAGACAAAGTGAGCATGCGGGAGTCTGGATGGGTTTCTTTATAAAGCCTCCGAGTTCAGGTGAAGAGGAAATCGCACACATTAAAGACAAGAGTCTGTGTTAGCCAACGCTCTATATTGGGAGCGTGAAGTGTGCTGTATGGAAGAAGAGCCCATTAAGGCACTTAGCTGCTCCAGCTACAACCAACACATCTCTAACCCACTACATTTTCACTCTTTTCTTCTCTGTGTGTGTGTGCACACCGGTATCACTCAGCTCGGTATCTCTCAACGCAAGATGAAAAACACCTTTGCTGTTAATACACTCCTGTTGATGCGCTGCTACAATTCCACCAGGACAGCAAAAGCACTCCAGTGTAATGATTTTAGACACAAGTCACAGAAGCAACAGCGGCTGGCTTTTCTGCCGAGCAGTAACTAAGCTGTTGAAGGCAAATTCTGCTGTGTTTAAGAATTCACGCCCGGGATTCTTCTGATGAGAGTTCACATTCATAAAATGTATCTGGACGATGCTAAACCACAAGAATGACGTGGTGCATACAGTAATTCAACTAGTCCTACAGATGGAGGAGTTATTCTGCAGCGCCGTGTGTTTCAGTGCGTCCACTTTCCCTCCACCTGCATCATCTATTTCCCCTCTCACCAATCAACCATGAACTTAATCTCCTCTGATTGGGTCCCTCCTGTTGAACATGAGCACAGAACTACACGTCTGGCAAGAAGCCCCGACTCTTTGATTCTGAGACTAAAAGTTCTTTGCTTTTGAACTCCATCGTAGCTCCAGACATTTAGAAAATAATCTGTGATTATAAGAAACAATAGCTGAACTAACGACGTCTACTAGAAGGGTTTAAGGATGTGTCCTTTAGGTGTTGTTGGGTTAGGGGCAACCGGCACTAGAGGAGTGCCAGAAAATGCACTGGCAGCAATATCCCGTGGAACTGAGTTATGGCCTAAGAATCATAAACTTGTGTCATGAAATCATAAAGTAAAAATATTCTAAAAGTGGGGAGCGGGCTTACTTCAGGTGTTGTTAGGTTTCACAGTCAGTTTGACCCGCACAGTGCAAACATATTAGGGGAAAACAGAGCAAGGAGAGCATCAAACAGTCTTTGCATTTACAAGAGACTGACTTCTTTTAGACGCATGAAATTATTGTTTTACTGTACAGTAAATATGGCACAGCTGACTTAAACTAAAACATAAACTGGGCCTCTTTTTTTTCTCCCCAGTGTTATGAGGGGGAACACCATTGCTTTAAATACTTTGTTAATACATAGGTACACATGGGAGTACTTACGCACTAGCCCAGATGGTGGACCCTCTAATTTGAAATCCAAGGGTATAATTAAGAGACAAAAAAATTAAAAAGGAAAGCATGAGGATTTGCTGCTTCGACATGAAATGCGGCACAAATTACAGCAAGGAGAAGCTCGGTTTGTGTGGTCACCGTTATTAGATCTGCACATTCAAACTAAATATTTAAGAATGGGGATCTGGCTGTGACTTTGAAGTTCTGCAGATAGAGGCACACATAACCCTGCGTATTACTCTGAATTTGACGGTAAATTAAAGGGATGGTATCAGATGACTGAGCTGAGGGTGCTGAGTTCATTATTTCTGGGAGAGGGGGGGGGTCTGTATGTTTCCATTAAAAGACACAATAGCCAGTAATGCAGTGCAGTCCACAGTGATAGGCAAAAACATCGTAAAGATGTTCTGCCATGGCTGTTGAAAATGGGACCAATCAAAAAGACTGCTGTGTAAACGATCGGCAGCTGATGCAGAACAGGTAAACACACCGGGAAGAGAAGCGCGGAGCGTGCTGGAGAGTCCGGTGCGTAAAAGCTGCCGGTTTGGGTCACACGCCCGTCGCATATCTGATTATATCAAAAACGCAGCCTTCAGAACACTACACTACATCGGTTCCAGATGTTTTTGGAGCTCTTTCCAGATTTACTTGGAGCCCTGTTTGGTCTATTTTTTGGTCACGGGGACTCTACAGGTCTGAGGACACCTTTGGATGCAGTTTGGAACACACGTGTTTATACCCTGTAGGTGTGGAGGTAACACTGGAACTGTAGTCTTATCGGAACAGTCACTCCGCTCACATTACCTCACTTACATAACAGCCAAACAATTTCTCCCCCCATTTTTTTTGGCCGCCCTCTGTTAACACCACCAAGTAAAGACATCGTGTAGTTTGGGAAATAGTGTCGTGGTGGGATTTGGACCAAGACGATGAACTGTAAATGAAGTTATGTGACATGTTCCATCCCAAATTGAAACATGCTTAACTTACATAACTTAAACATTAAAATCAACGAACTCTCACGTGTGTGTTGGACAATTTCTGACAGGATAATAGCCTGTCCGGTGCGCAAAAGAGCAACTTTGGAGACGCTTTCGACCACGCAGATATTCGTCAGAATGCATCCATAGAAAAGGCGAGCGGAAAAGTTTTTACTTACCGGTGTCGAAAACACTAAAAGCCGCAGAAGAAATAGCCCCAGCGAGGAGAAGAGCAGATGTGACTGTCCAGGAATCCATCGTGTGATTAAAGACTTTGAGCTGGCTCTCAGGTGAAGTGCAGCCAGACGGACGGATGCGCAGACCGGCGAGCTGGTGGACTGACTGACGGACTGACTGTCCGGGTCTGTGCAGGAGTCGCTCTTCGCTCGGCGTTAAAAGTCCCTGAACTTCAAGGCAGGTCCTACAGCCACTACTACACTGACACCACAAAGACGGGAACAGATAGTAGAAAGCTGGGATCCTATTTCCAACCCATGTGACAGGAAATAGGGGCAATAGATTCAACCTGCAGCGCTGGGGAAGCAGCGGAAAGAACGGAGGAGGAGGGAGGGAGGGAGAGAGGGTGGCGCTGCTGGGGTTGGAGGCTGGACTCAGTGGTGCGATGAAGAGCAGGTTAATAAAGTATAAACTGATTTTGGAATATCATTCCAAACCTATTCCACTGTTAATAACTAACTTCAAGCACCACACAGCCATCGTGCATTTACTATTAGGTATCTACATTAAAGGTATAGAAGTGATGCTACAGGAGATCAGATCAGAACAGTCCACTGACATGCTATGCAGTACCAGTGTCGCACAATAAATCCTGTCTGGTGGCAGAGGCGTAAATATAGACAGTGTCGGCAGTGCAGTTGCACTGGGGCCCTGGGGTGGAGGGGCCTATAGAGAGAGTAGGCTCTCCAAAAATGTATTGTACTGGATGGAGAAAGGGCCCAGATTGCCACCTCTCAGATATGCAAAAGTGTGTGTGTGTGTGTGTGTGTGTGTGTGTGTGTGTGTGTGCGTGGGGGGTGGGGGGGGTTGGTAGAAATCTATAACATATGCTCATATCTAAATATTTTTTGGTATGCAATTATGATTTCTGGGTAATACGTATGTTGATGTTGTCCAAATGTTTAGTTTAGGCACAAAATCTGTCAAGACTGACAAGCTGAGCACATCTGCAAGCCGAGTCCGCAGTCATGCCTCACAAACATAAAAGAGGCATGTAAGGAAAGACGGCAGCGAAGCTCCGTAAATTACATTCTTTGGGCTTTTTTTTTATAAACAGTTGCCAGCCCACGCTGTGTGTGCGCTTCACAACCATCTAGCGTGCAGTAGGGCCCGTCGTAAACAGCCTTACGCCACTGTCGGCTGTATATGGGAGTATTGTCTTGGTTTTTATGATGTTGGGGTCTAAATCTAATTGGGGGTCCATTACATTTGGAGACCCCTGGGCTACGACATACAGTACTCAATTCTAGAATGCACACAAAGGCAAGTCAAAGGCAGTACGTCATTTTAATAGCTATATTATGGAAGAGGGGGAGTGGTGAGGGAGAAGGATTTGCACATGATCTGGTAGAGAGGACAGTAGGTAGCCCTGTGGCTTAATAAAGAAAAGATTAATTAAGACGTGGATGAGGTTGGGGAAATTACTCTACTTTTTTATGTATTTCAAGACCAAATTATTTTGTTTACTTTTTTATTCCTGCGGCTGGAGTTGTGATCAAAGAAACTTGTGATCACAAGTTTTGTGTTTTTTTATTTGTATTTGTCTGCCTAACATTTAATCAATAGAAGCGAGTCCCTGGGCACAATTTGGGGGAATCACAAGACTTTTTTCTGGTGAGATTTTTAGTTGTTGATGTCCACAGTTAGTTATTAGATCATTCTAATCCACAGTAATGGGTGAGGTGTTATATTTTAAACTAAAACAAACAAGCAGATTATGTTAAAATATCTGGTATATAATGAATGTCATGTTCTTTCTTAATGAAACTCAATCAATTAGAAAATAAAACCAGAATAGAGAGAAAAAAATACTAATTGTACTCCTTGGATGATTTTTTTCCTTCCTAATGTGTCCATTAAAGCTTTTTTAATCGTACTCACTGGCTAGAAACAGGAGCACCGTGTGTGTGTATGTGTGTGTGTGTGTGTGTGTGTGTGTGTGTAAGCCCACTGATGGTGCTTCTCACCTCTTTGCCATTTCACACTGGCAGTCTCATCTTCAGTGTGAAACAGCACCCTCGTGTGTTTCCCTGCGAGCATCATGCAGCACCATTGAGAAGAGTCCACAGCATCAAACACAGCCAGTTGGCCTAAAAATAGACGATCCAGTATGAGCTCACCACTCTTGAGGAAAAGGAGGCCCAACATGTATTTTGCCAAAACCGACGGGGTTGAGATGAGGAGCACTGGGAAAGTAATCTAGCATGACGTGTGCCCTTTACAGAGACGTAACTGTGTGGCTTAGAGATGCTGGATGGTAAAAAAAACTGCACTTACATTACAGCGAAAGATGGTTTGGGAGAAAAAGATTTATTATAATTGAACCATACTGACAGTTTACTCAGATGTTTAACCTTTTCTGAAACTAGCTGTCAGTCTAAAGTGACTCTGACATTATATGTATTACATATCTCATTACATTTCCCATCCATAACTAAGTATACTTACTCAATTACTATACTTCAGTATCATTTTGAGGTAGTTTCTTATTCTGTACTTTATATTTCTTCGCCACTACGTTTGAGAGGGGATATTTTGTAGCTATAGTACTCACAAAACATAATACCTTTAGAAAATATGATGCATTTTCTACGTCTCAGTACAAGTAGTTTAAATGAATGTGGATAAGCTACGACAATAATATGTTTTCGACACATTTGTGCATCAGTATACTGTGATACTATGATCTAATATAGAACATTTGGCTGATAAATCTTTCTATCTGTCTGTGAAGGGCTGCAACTGACACTTGTTTTTATTATCAATTAATTATTTTAACAACTGTTCTTGATAAAGTTCCCAGAGCTGATAGTGATGTTTTCATATGTTTTGTTTAAACAGTGCAAAACTAAAACACATTCAGTTCACTATCATAGAAAACACGAATATTAACACATTGTTGAGAAGCTGGGACCAGCGATTTTCTACTCTTTTTGCTTAAGGGGAGACACAACAGGTGAATATACTGTATGCTAATTTCCATACATTATTTGAACATTGGATGAGGCCATGTTCAAAATTATTGTTTCATTGTGTTGACATATTAGAGTCAAAGGTTTTTTACAGAGAGGATCTCTTTATTTTAGAAAATACTTTCAACAGCCATCGAGCCATTTGAGGTAATGCTACTTTTAACTGAACTAAGGACCTGAATACTTCATCCACCGCAGTAGCCCATGCATTGCTATCATTATTTAGCATGTGACATGTTATGAGTGGGTGCTCACACAAAGCAGTCTCAGTGCCCTCAGACTATTAACTATATGATCATTAACCTGAATCAGAGTCCTGTCATTACCTCCCATCTTCCCGGAATGCTATCAGTCTGTGATGCTGTGCAGTTGTGGTAGCAAGACCTCCTTTGTCTTCTTTGTCTGTGTGTGCGTGCGCGTGTGTGTGAGATCACATGTTGGACATGTCTACACACGCTGGCCACATTCCTTGTGGTCTGCTGGAGTTACTGTAATTCTGCTCTGTCTTTTTTTGCTCTCTCCAGATAAAACTCACCACTTCCACACATGACATTCACACTTAATTATTTTCGGGCACTTCGCCTTTCAGACTGCTCGGCTGTTTTTCATTGGGTTGAGAACATCAGATAACGAGTATCCAGAGTTCCTCCTCCATGTGCGTACATTTCTAGCACGGGTGGATGCGGCAACGAGAGCCGGTGTGTCCTCCCTGCTTTGTTATGCAAGACGGCGGATGGAGCTCACGGCAAGAATAATCCACCGAGATGTATTGGAAAATAGTCTGGCATCCCTGACCTGCCTGCCAATGGGATGTTATGCGTAGCTGAATTAGAAGTTGGCCCAGATGCTTTGAATTCACAAATTTAGGAGCCAAGACTATGTCATGTCCTTGTATTCTCTTGGGTAAACATGAGCGCCTGGCCCTGAATTTTAATGCCACATTTTTCTACTTCCCTGGACAAAACTACGTCTCCCTCTGCGCTTTGCTTTCTCTCCTTCTTGGCATCTGAGAGAATCTTTGGTTGCATTGAACCTGAAGCTGTCAAGTCTTTTGACACGCCATTTCATTTCGATCTCATCTGAGAGAGAGGTACAAAATTGAAAGGGTCTATTCACACAGATTACAAAAAAAAAAACACTTTCCTGTAGTGGAATCAAACCATGCAGATAGTTTTTGTGTTTCTTATTCCAGGATTGGAGTCTTTGACATTTCTACCAGCACTTCAATACAATAAAAGGTGAACGGGAACTCATTTGTGGTGCTCACAGCATTAAAAGTGACATTTAAAAGCTCAACAGCAGCGTGCCGAGGCAGTTTCCTGATTATTCGGGATAACTCACAGACTTGACTGTGAGCAGTGTATACAACTGCTTTCAATTTGATTAAGTTACACACTTGAGTACTCAAATGTGAAGAATTGATGCTTTTCTTTCTTAGATGATAGCAGACCGAATATCTTTGGGTTTTCTACTGTTGGTCGGACGAAAACAACGGCGTGAATAACTGAATTTGGGCTCTGACAAATTGTGGTCTCACTACTTTCTGACATGTTACAGACAAAACAATAACTCAAACAATCAAGAAAATAACTTTGATAAATTGGGTGAATCGATCCTTTAAAACTAGTATGATGGAAATTCGCTTCTGAGGCTAAATTTAGTTGGGTTGGGGACGTGTGCACCCTGAAGAACCTGACAAGAAGAAGGAGGCAGATATTTTTTCTCCATCTATGACATCACCACGGTGTCCGGATCATTCTCCTCAGTGCCGAAATGATCTCTGCGGTCGCTTGGCTCATTACATTAATTAAAAACAAAACACGCCGGCACACACATTGACGCACAACTTCTCGTGTCTACTCCTATGGGGGGACACAGTGAGTCAACGCGATTACTCAACCAAAGCATCTGGTTGTTGTCTGAAGTCTGTTCGACCCGGCCAACAAACCCCGACGCGGCCACATCAGTGTCCATATGATCCACATCATTAGTGGTTGCACACCCAACGCACATTATGTGGGCTCCCCTTGACAAATGACTGCCTCTGGCCCTATCTGCAGCAGTAACAACCCCCAACCACCATCTTCTCTTAACTCCTATCCCCTACACACACACACACACACCTGTGCAGGCCCCTGAGCTTACCCGTGTTCAAAGCCAAGATAAAAGCTAACGTTTACATCCAGCCACCTGCACGTAACCAGCAGCCCCCAGCAGCACCACAAACCCTGCTCCGCCTCTCTTCGCTGACACACACAGCAGTCATCCGTCTTGCTTGGCCTCCAGGGTCTCTAATTAGTCTCCGGGTGGGTGACACCCTCTGGAATGTTTATTGTAACATTGCTCCGCCATTATCTCCTTAAAATAGGACACAAGAAGAGAAGAAGAAATAATAGAAAGCAGGCAGAGAATGCATGAGAGGTGGATGGATTGTTTTTGTTATCAGGACTAAATTGCTGTAAATAAGTTCATTACAACTTGTGTGTCATGCGTATTTTCTATCAGTTATGGTAACATTGTACCCTCCAAAGTAATTGGAGGTTAATATGGAGGTTATCTAGTTGGTGATAAAACTAAAAATGTGTCTATAAAAATCTCACATCACACAGTGCGCACATCTATGGGACTATAAGTACGTTCATAGGTTAAAAGTTGAACCTCAAAGCCTTGCCTGTAAACTGTGATGGATGTTTACAACTAGTAGTAAGTTTACTGTTTGCCTGTGTTATGTCTTCCTGGCTAACCTGGGGGTTTGTTCAAAACATGTCTGACTGCCTTGTGTATCTTGTCCCATCAGATTTGTATCTAAGAGGTTAACTCTGTGCGTAGAAATCATAGATTGTATAAGAAATAGACGCAGTCGTTGTGACGTCACCCATTGGTTTGTAGACTGCGGTTTTGAAGCCTTGAGTTCGGCATTTTTGGCGATCGCCATCTTGGAATTTTTGCAACCAGTGAACGGTAGTGACTATGGAAGAGTGACGCCGTGGTAGAGACGTTGTATGCGGCTCTGATAGCGAACTGTCAATCACAAGGTATCCACGCCCTACAACATACTCTGCTTTATGTTCTATTTTACTCTAAATACCATAATATACTAAATTAACTTCATGCTGTATTGAAGAAAACTTGAAACTAGAGATTGAGACCATAAACACATGTTTACAATGATTACTGAGGTAACAAATCAAGTGAGAAGTAGAGTCATTCTCTCATAGACTTCTATACAATCTGAGTTATTTTTGCAACCAGAGGAGTCGCCCCCTGCTGGCCATTAGAAAGAATTCAAGTTTAGGGCACTTCTGCATTGGCTTTACTGATGATGGTATGATGACGATGGCCAATAAGTCTTTAACGATTAATTCTATTGACTATAACTGTATTATCCTTTTATACCAGCACAGATGAGCCCATTGATATATAATGAAGAAACATAGAAACATGTAACCTTTAAGATGACAGCCTACATGGGTTGATGTGATTACTTTGCATCGGTTGTTTTGTTCCTCCAGTTTGAACAGAGGAGAAGAGGAGGAGGAGACTCTTGAGCACAAGATGAGAATGGCTGGTAAAACATCAACTCAGTAGCCAGCTTTTAACTACAGTGGACGCCAGCCATTCATGTTTCTCGCACCTTGGCCACCAGCCTCAAAAGGGCAAAAATACCGAAAGACCTCAAAAGTTCCAAAACCAAACCAAAAGCCAAACTTGAAGCATCTCGGCCCTTTTAAACCAGAGCCTGGTCCCTGCATAAGTGATCATTCCATTTTTGGGAAATCCTATAAACGTGACTGATTTAGTGGGTGAGGCAGTAAAATGTATTTGAAGCAGGGTGGCAGCAATAGCAGTGGTGCTGAGAAACTGCAGAAAAACAATGGAAAGAATACACATTGGCTGTGATTTAATCAATTAGCTTTAATTTTGAATAACATATTAAACTAAAATGGGGTATTCCACTAAGAAGCAACATCACATACGAAAAACAACAACAAACGTGGCCTATCACACTGGAAAATGTAGTCTGCGGTGTTCTTACTGATCCATTCTTCACTGACTCAACGACTGTATAACTCAACTTTCCTGATGCTTGAAATTGATGTAATACAAAAAATAAGAAATTGCCCTTTAATGCCAGCAAAGATAAGGACATCATGGCTAACATCAGCACCATCAACCTTCTTCCAAGTCAGAAATATCTTCGCAGTAACTCATCACAGCTCAGGAAAAGAGCCAGAAGCCAGAGAACTGCTTCCCAGCACATCCCGCCATGAAACAATGTCCCCACACAGTGGGAATCATCCCGAGATGGATATTAGTTGTAGTGTGACAATAACAGCACATTTGACTCACACTTAAAAATGAGCTGCCAATGGCAAAGGAGCATCAGAGCTATTTCGTGTTGGAGAATGACATGGAGCAAAAAGGTCAAATGAGAGCCTCTAAACAACAACAAGTTTTCTCTGTTGGGCTGTAATGACGTATTCTGAAAATGTACTTGTGAATGGGTGGCTCTGGAAAATTCTGGGAAACCTTGTTTTGCTGAAACACAACAAATAAAATTAGAATTTACATTCGCAAGTGGTGCGTTTCTTTTGAGAGTCTTTTGAGCCTTGTCTTCAAAGAGTT